TCATTGTAGATATCTCTCAACTTTAGAATATACATTTCATTTTCGAGTGAGCTTGTCTCTAAATGCTAGTATTATAAAAAGTTGAGGTGACATAACATTGGAAAGTTTAAAAATTTTAGATTCTTCAACTTGTCAACTAAGTCAAACTTTTTAAATAGTCTAAGCAATAGAAATTATATTACTTGTAAATAAATGACAAAATTTTCATTTATTCAAATTTTTTTTCATTGAAATTTAAGTTTTCATAAAAAAGAAAATAAAACCATTCATATAAATTCTAATTAATAGTTAAATTATCTCATTAAGTATAAAATCTGTAATTAAAATTAATAAGAATCAATTAGCTATTCATGACTAAGTAGTCATAAATAGCCTAATCAATATGATTGAATATACCACTATTAAATTCATACAAATACGGATTTTATAATATTCACAAGGAGAAATAATCATTAGAGTATGTTGTTTAGAGTAAAATTGATTCTTATGGATTCAATGATGTGATAAGAAAATTTAAATATAGATAAATCAAATTCTTGAAGATCAGGAATTGAAAGAAAAATTGATTTTTGATGAATTCAAAATAATTATATCAAATGATAAAGCTTAATCATAATTATCTATTATCAAATTAGATCAAATTAAATCTTTAACAAGATATGGATTGATTTATTGATTTCAAATACCATGACATTGAAATTGAGATTTCTAATGACTATGCATTGAAATTGGGAAAAAAATCCTTGTTTTCATATATAAGTTGAGCTTTTTGTCAATGAATTGGAGTGAATATTGCTATAAAATGCAAAGTTAATTATGTATTGATAACAAGACATGAAAGCAAGTAGAGATTTAAAAAAATCAATCTTTGGTTGATAAAAAATGAGTGTATAAAAAAATAGTATTTCAAAAAAGTACAAAAAGATAATTCCTAAAAGCAAGTTGATGATTAAAGATTTTATACAAAAGATTGATGTGACTAACAATGAATGGTCTATATATGTAGCAAAATATGATATAAGTTGATTAATATGTGCAGTTGCTATAATATTTTCTATGATTATGAATCAAAAAAATGTAATCATGATATTTTTCTATTTTTTTATATTTTTTTCATAAAAATAATTTTTTATAGCATTTCTATATGAGAAAAAAAATTGACTTTCAAGAAAATAGTCAATTGATTTGTAAGTATTATAATTATCGAATGAATATATTTATGCAATAAAATGCATGACTTTATGAGTTTTGAGCACAAGAATTTTCATGTACTATGTATGATGTTTTTATATATGCCATTTGTATTTATGAATTGGGCGAATGGTATTATTAATTATTTTTATTATTATTAAATTTGCGCAATTCACATGCTTATTTCAACAAAAAGCCAATATAACATGAAAAGACGTAAAAATCAACCAAAATTTGCTATCAAGATGAAGGATTTGAAAATTTCAAAAACATATTATGTATGTTTTTGTTTATGGAAATTTGAAGAAAAAAAGACTATGATTAAGTGAACATATGCAATATGATTTGAACAAAATCAACATAATATATGTTTTCAGATCATTTGAATTACTTTGTCAACAATATTTATGCATTCTTGCAACTTACTATTAAATGATGTCATTGAAAAGGTAAAGATGTTGTCAAAAGACAAAACAATGGACAAATACATGATGATATACACAAAAGCTGATATTACTTTAGCTTTAAGCAAGATAAACATGTTCATGTCAAATTGAAGAAAGATTCATTGAAAAGCTATGAAATGAAAACTCATATATCTTAAAAGAGGTAAAAAATTGAATCTCTTGTTTGAAGATGTATGTGTTCATATTTCATGATGTATGTATTTGTTGGAGAATTACTTTGCAAAAGTGAGTAGCTTAGTTACCAGCAAAAGTTTAATTGTTGGCATGAGTTTAATCATTGAGATGAGATTGGAATATGAGGTTTTTAATCTTCACTATGATAGTAAGAATATATTACATCTTGTTACAAATCAAATGATGTACATTCGAATTTATATCATCTATCAAATTATTAAAGATGTTCATTTTTGTAAGAAATTTTAACAAATCAAAATTTACACTAAAGTCAATCCAATTGATGCATGGATCAAAGATAACTCTTTGAAAAATTGGAGTAAACATTGAGCTAAATTGCAGGTTTTGCATATTTAACTCTATCATATTTTGACCACGACTTAGTTTTGAATAGCTTTAGTTTACAAAGAAATTTATGTTAGGTTATTTCTAAATTTTCTCGTGAGTTAATATTTCAAATTATTAAGTTTTAGTTTCCACGATATGAATGAAGAGCCAAATTGTTAGAATTGGATTCACGTAATTATGTCACTCAAATTAGTTAATTTATGATCAATAAGATAGTTATTATAAAGGAGAGTTTATCAAAGTTATGTGTTTTCCATAATTTTGATAAACTCTTTCTTTGATAAAACTGTTTGAGTAAAGTCTTTGTCTTTCTGTGAATAATGATATATCAATTCATTTCACATTAGAGCTAGCTAGCATCTAAACCCTAATTCCTAGCTAGATATTATAAATTTAATAAAGTAATTTATTTCCAATTTTGAATTTTAATGATATATTAAAATGTAATGATGAATTAAAAATATTTAGTTTTAATATCTAAACTAAAAAATATTGATATGATTCTTTGAAAATCCTGGAAAACATTTAAAAGTTTGATAAAAATTATTTAAAAATAATAATTTATTTTAGATTAAAAATATTATAAAATTTTTTATATGTATAATAAATGTCATGAAATTTTTTATTTCAATTTAAAAATTTCAGGATCTTTTTAAAAAATTAATTGTTTAAAAAATCAAAAAACACTTTATTTATTCAATTCTTTTTACGTAATTAATTAAAATACTGAAACTGAAATACAAAAAATTAGATTGAAATTTGATAAATATAAATAATTTTTATTTTCAAATGGATTTTATTTATATGAAATAAGCATCATACATTTCATCACATTTGACTTACGAAAAATTGCTTGACAAAAAATTCATGATTTTTCAGAATTAGAATAAAATGTTGATTATTTTGTAAATCTCAAGATAATATTTTTGATAATATTGAATTTTTATCATCATCCAATACTTTGTAATCTATCAGATTTTTTAATATCTTTGTAAATTTTGTTGCAGACTATTTTGAATATATATATTTTTATTCTCAAGATTATTTATAATATACATGAATTTTTTTTTATATTTTATGAATTTTAAAGGGAGAGCTAGTTGTACCTCAATTTAAGCTAATCATACCTTAGCTACGATGTTGCACTACTTCTACTCCTTTCCTTGTGCCCGCGAAGAAGATCTAATTCAGATCTATATATAAGCTTTTCACAGGATTATATCACATAGTTCTAGAATTTCCTTGTGCCCGCGAAGATTATATCACATAGCTCTAGTAAAATTAAGGATAGCTCTGTTCTATATAGTAAAGTATGGTGAAGAATAATTAACCTAAATTGAGGTATAACTAGATATATATTCTCATGCATATTATATATATATATATATGAGAGATCTTTTTTCATATTTTAAAACTTTGTGAAAAAACATAGACCTTGATTTTAAACTGGTAATAAAACTATCTTCTCAATAAAATAAGACAAGAAACAAACTATCAAATAAAAAAGTGAATTGCTCTTCCTAATATCTTTTTGGATCAAATAATCCGTAGAAATATGTTAAACTTATATAAAATTCATTTGTTCAATCAAGTATCAATTTTGTCTGAGTAAGAAAAATGCAGCATCACCTTTTCATATATTGCATATTTAATGGTATGAACATATGTTCTTTACAAGTTGAACAATAACAAAACTTCAAGAACAGTCTACAAAGTACAGAAAAATACAGCTCATGTACAAAATTGTGGCTTTTTTATGAGTCTATTTATTTTTATTTTGATGTCTATTCACAATAAATTTTTCATTATTTGAACTAATTTAACAATCTCAAATAATTAAGCACTTGCAAGAAAAATTAAATCATGACATCATCTTTTTTGTCCTATTTATAAAGTCAATTCTTATTCTAAATACCTTTTGCGTAGATATAGTTTCTATATCTACGATGAATGAAGACAAGTTTTATGCGATTAACATCAATTTTTTTTTTGTAAAAATCATTTATTTTGATTGTCAAGTTCTCCATTTACTCCATTTCAGTGTTTCTCGATCTATTCTTAAGATTTCTTTGCAAGTAAGAAAGAAGTCTATTAGATGTGAAAAAATTAGAACTAACATTATGGATGTGTTCACAAGATTATTGTCCATCAATATTTATGTATATTGTTGTAATCTATGTGTAGTTGATTTAGGTAATGAGACTAAATTAGATTCATCAAGTTTCATACAATTTTCGTTAAGGGAGACTTGGATTTCTTAATATGGGTAAATGATTATGTTCTGCTAGAGTTAGTTAATGTAGTGGTTATATTTTATAAAACCTATCTAAACCGAATCCTATTTTGGGTTTGCTTTGATATGATAGACAGACTAGATAACTAACACACCTAATGTTATGTTTAAATTTGTCTCATATTGTTCCCTCGTGAGAACTTTTCATGCATTTCTGTAGTGTATTATTGATATCAAATTTGTACTTGAATTTTTCATCACATCGTCAATCTATCTCGTTTCAGTGCAAATGTATCTCAATTTTGACCTTTCTAGAGAAGAAAATAAAGACAGCCTTTGGTTGACAAAATACATGTCGCGGATAATCTGAGATTGATGAAAAATCATATTGAGTCTTGAAAGAAAAATCAACACCTGAACCATAGGAGGGCATATTAAACTTGTATGCAATGAGCAGGGAATTGTACGCAGGTGGAATGCTAATGTCGTAAGAACAGATGGTTCCGACCTTTTGGCTGCTTGCAATTATCACCGTCTACACAGAAAACAATCGTGGATCGAAAAAATATCGCGCAGTTCGTACACCACTTAACCTCTGCCCCGACCGGTGCTGTCGCAACTGGTAATACGGGGGCACGTTGCTTCCTTGCAAAGCTCGATTCTGAGCTGCAGTTTTTAAGATTGTATTGTAATGGCGAAAGCGTGGGGCAGGTGCTTTCTATTAAGCAGAAAGGTTGTACAGCAATAGTTGCTTAATGAGTAGGCTGGCCGTCGGGCAGACCTTGTCTCTTATCTTGGAGGTATATTTTTCCGCCAGTATCCCACGCCAGCTTCTTCGGGTTCAGGTATGCTCATTCATTCTTTCTCTCTCTCTGAGCACCGAGAAGATAGTGGCGTGAGCTGTTGCTTCGGTTTTGATCAAGGGCTCAGCTGCTTGAGACAAGGAGCCACAGATTGTATCGCCCGTTCAAAGGATGATCTACGTCACATATGCTGCCACACTCCTCCTCCGGCCGAAACAGATGGAGACATTTGTTAGGCTGAAGCGTTCGTGCGAGGAGGAGCCATCGTACTGATACCGTGATCAATGAAGGTCTGTAAGGACACTAAATGCCTGTCGAAGGAGGTCTGGCTCTGGTGCGCTTCACTAACATCGACTTCTTGGCAAATGACAGCTGTCGATGGTTCGCTCGACTCCTTGGGGTATCATCAGCATGGGACCGAACGAGATGAAAGAAATTAGTATACAGTCTGCAAAAGGCGTTTGACTGTAGATGAATTATGTTGGAGATATTAATGAGATGGTGGTGTTCCAGTTATATTTCTATCGCTCTTGTCCAGCTGAGCTGTGCTGTTCCTGCGAGTTTGATGACTATGGCGGAAGCCAGGTAGGCAGAAATTTGCAGCTGCGAATGCTTGCGATGTATGAAGTGGGGCTGTGACCAAAATTGCCATCCTTGCCCGTTGGGAAGTTGGGGTATGTTGTGTGTTCTAGAATGTCCTTCGGATGAAAATCTCACAACTGTGAAGAGCATTCTAAGCTTCCATTGACCACGAGGTTCGACGATGGTCGATAAAGTGCTCGACAATGTGGATTACAGGACATTTGCGACATCAATCTTGCAAGATCACTTGTATTTACACGAAGTGAGGTTTCTGGAATACCTGAGCCATGGAGATCGAGGAGAAGCGCATGGGCGGAGTTTCTGGTGAGTTGGCCTGTTAAACAACTGTAAGTACTTACTTGTCCAAATACTTAAAGTTCTTTTACGTATGATGGTCGAGAGAGCTAAGTATCACACCCCGGTCAGGATATATGAAGTCAGATCATGAATCACGTCACATCATCTGGAAAGTTTATGGTCTGATTCGGATGATGATATAAGACTCTGAGGTTGCTGAGAAGCGTATATGATGTATGTGACATGTTAACACCTCATCAACAGTGGTTAGAAGAGAATTGGATTCAGATAGTGCTCGCTGGAGACACTCGCCATTCCGAAAGAAGCAAAAGAAAGCGGCTGTAGACATCGTGAATCTGCTGGCATGCATGAGGGCAACATAGGAGACGTTTCGTCAATAAACTTGAATGTCAGAAATATATGGGAAGCCGAGAGCAAGAGAACCATTCCCATGTCCGGCATTTCTCCAAGTTGCAGGTAAGTAAACAGGACCTATTTCGTTTTGCAGCCATTTAGAGATGGATGGAAGATTATTGACTACATTGCTGTTTGAGGGGCAGGAGTCTGTAGCGTCCAACGTCAATGATACACGTTATTCTCGCTCCCTGAGGCACGATGATTGTTGTGACTGTCGAAAGTCCAGAAAGCATTAACGTTGATATTTGCTGTAATGATGTCATTAACCACAGTGGCATGAACTGCTACATAACCGGAGTGAATCTGGTTATGGGAGACACACTGATGTGCTTGAATTTGGAGATTCTAGCCACAAGGCTGATATGTGTACCATCCGATGACAGCAGTTTGAAGACTGCATCATAGCCAGCTGACTTATAAAAACCCGCTACTTCACACGTTCAAGCGAAATTGGGTTAACTGTGCATGACTTTATCTCATCTATCTGAAGAACGCATGCCTTGATCTCACAACTGCTTCAATTCTGGGGTTAAGGTCTGACCAGGTTGTGCACGCTTCTTCTATTGTTTGCTGTGACAATTGTGGTCATTCTGATCAGCTCATATCAAGGGCCTCTTGTCAGTTCTAAATATACAGTTTGTACAAACTATCCAAGAACTGCAATTGGGTAAAAGCGTCTCCTTGTGTCTATCAGAGTTCATCCGTGTGAACCTTGATGCCAAGAACAATCAGGTAGCATCAGCTTCCTCGCGCGTAAACAGCATCTCACAGCATCTGAGATTTTTTGATGTAGCAGAAAACCTTTGTAGTCTGTCAGGGAATCTCTTGTATTGTTGAAGTGTCCACCCTGTGATGCCATGTCAGAAATGTACAAGAGACCGCTATTAGCAGACCAGTGAATGAAATATCAAGAAAGGTGAATGTGTCTATCTTAAGGTACAGTTAGTCATGTATCATGATACTCAACTCTCTATATTACACAGGGAAGGCAAGTCAATTGATAGATCTCAACTGTCGGGAAAGTTTGTTACCTTCAAAGTACCGCGTCCTTAAGCTGTGTCTTTGTTGATCGACATTGTTTTTGTGATGTTTTTACTTGTTGCTGGTCCGAAATATTGTCACGCGATTTGAAGGGGAAATGAGTTCCTTTTCCTTCCAAACCTACAACTGAAGGATCTCAAACGCAATCCCTTAAACGTGAGGGGTCTCAATCCTTCCTCTTAATAGTCGCGGTAAATTATCAACACCTAGCCTTTGTAACACATGGAGGTTATCTCTGCAGGCATGAGAGTATATAATACAGCTTCCGCCGTTGGCATGTGAGAATTCTGAGACCATATACTCTACAGTAAAGCATTAACTTAATATTGAGTTTCGAGGAGGGAGGGTCAATTGCTGTCTCGCAGGATGGGTCCAACTTTGATCTCCACTTTAATGAGAGTATGAAGCGCTGACTGACAAGACTGATTTATAAACTGCAAACCAAAACTTGAGTGAGTCTGAACTGTAAATTACTTCACAACGTAGTAGAAAATATTCAGAAAAAAGTGTAACCACCGAGTTCGAAAATTAATAAATTCAAACGTGAGTGACAGTGTATATTTGCATACCAGGATATATATCCACCACACCAAAGTTTACATCAGTAAAATTTAATTTTTTTCTCACTGTTCGGAGGAACCTAGAATTCACTAATTCAACACTCCAAAGATGTTACCTATGAAATCGTAAATTCGAAAATCATAACTATTATCATATAATCTGTGCCAATATGACAATAAACATAATGAATAATTAATGAAATAAATTTTCAGAATTATAGATTAGTATACACATATAATACAGCAACGAACCTTGTAATTGAATATGAGAAGCAAACGTCCGTCAACTCTAAGGTGTAATCTACCTATACTTGAAATCTATAGTTTGTTATCAATTTAAATAAATGGGATAAATGGTCTCTCAGTTGCCAAAAAATCATATAGACAAAGGTTGTTGTAATTGCATAAAATAAATACAAAATTTGAGATATAATTTGAATATATATATATATATATATATTTCATAATTTTATTAATAACATTTTATCGATATAATAATGACAATTTTAGTAAAATGATAATATATATTTTTTAAATTTTAAATTTTATTTTTATTATATTATTTTATAATCTGAAAATATCATATATATATATATATTAAAACTTGTTCTTATATAGATTATAATAATAGGAAAAATATAAAATTCAAAATTCAAAATTTTATTACTTTATAAAATAATTTAAAGTAAAATTGACTATATTATCAAAATTTAATATAATCGATATACGTTAAAAATGATATTAAAATTTGTAATGATTTCAATATTATTTTTAAACATATATTTTTTATCTACTATTTTAATGTAAATATATTATACTTCTATTCAAAAAATAAACAATAACTTAAATGAATGAGACGGTTATGAATTATTATTAAATAATTCATCCAAGTTATAACATTAATCATCCAAGTTAAGATGGACAGAACCGAAAGGTCATTCCTAAGAGTCAGGTTGTGCCAAAGATATAACAAAGCTCTTGCTCCAAGGAGAGGGGTTCATTCTCTCTTTCACGCCGCAAGGTCTTTAGTCTTGAAACGCAGCATCGTAAAGGTAGTGGCGTAACACCCAGAAGGTCGCAACTGTTGGTGCTTTCATTTCTCTCCTTCTCATTTCGTTGGCCTTTCTGTTTTCTCTGTCAAGCACCATGTTGGTTCCAAACCAATCTTCCATTTATGTATCTTTTGAGTCTCAGCGATAAATGCTGATTTGGTTCATCCGCTGCATGGGGAGGAATACATTCTACATTGAAATGTTAATTCATAGGAATGAAAGTGCTCTGGAATTCTAACTGAATATCCACTGGGCTCACATCAAACACAATAATGCAAGATGTCATCATTTCGTGCTTCAAAGAAGTCTCTGTCCTGAGAATCAGCCATTCAGACCAGTTCTTGTTTCTGCAGGTGCGTTTTGCGGCTTTAGAACTTGTGGTGTGGACTGAAGCTGTGGTGAGGTCAGATCACGCCTGTTTGCAGTGTGAAGGTTGTACTGTCTTTCTATGTGGCCTCACATCGCTTGGAGCAGAGACCCTTGGGTTGGTCCAGACACGAGTTGAATGTTGTTGATTGTCAGTCGGTGGATTCTATGGACAGTTATATGCAGACATCTCAAGTTCTCCACCCGAGGTGCCCTTTGGACTAGAATTTTGCTGGCAACATGTGTACCACCTTGATGCACACAGGGCTTAACCGTTGGCTGGAGACCCACACATTTCTATTAGCGTGTATCTGGGCACCATACAGAGATGCACCTCTTCATCAGATGACCTGAATGTCCAATGTGAAGTCAGGTTCGTTAGTTGAGCCACAGGTGCGCCTAAGCCTCCTATTTCAACGGGATCGAAGGAGTCAGATTGCAGTGAGCCTTGATTTTGTTCTCGTAGCATGTGGAGGCGAGCTAGTTCTCATTCGTCCAAGAGGATGTTCCGATCTCAAAAGTAGGTTCCCCAACGGACATGACGAAACACCGTCTTCGGGGGGGGCTGGGCATGATTTTGTCAAAGAATCGAATACTTCTGTAGATGAGACCTTTCCAGTAATCTTTCCAAAAAACCCAGCAGTTCTGCTCATGGCTACAGCTAGAACGGCTCGGTGCCCAAGTACGTGATAAACCGAACCCACGGACTGCTGTAAATGGGCCTCCTTTCCCGCTGAAAACGAACCCATCCCGTGGTGCTGGATATTCTGAAATTTCCTCCAGATGTCGCGGTTTTCCTACATGTCCTCCTAACTTTTGTATCGCCCTTGATCTCCGGACACCTTTGTCTATACTTTTCCCATTCTGCAGCCATGGAGGATTTTATTAGATCATACATAATCTTCGCGGAAAGATGTGCTTGATTTTTGGGAATTGCTTACATGTAACAGCTCGAGCCTCCCCATCTAACGGGATATGAATCTAGTATGGCCGGCAAAGATAGGTTGACTATAGGAAATCACACGGCATAGCACATTCAATCGAACTGCTTTCCATAACTATCGAGCTGGCAAATTCTGGTGGAGTACTTTCGTTCATTTCCATGCAATTTGCATATATTTCTAGGTGCTGTACGTTGAGATTTTCGCTGGTAGATAGCACGGAAAGCTTACTGTGCGTCAGACCCGGAATTGTTCGAGGTCAAGCAAGTCAAAGCTTCAGTCTTCGATAATGGTGGATGTCCCAAGTCCTCGGGTACTCGATAAACCTCAGGATTCTACAACTCTACAGTGACGGCGAAAAGTTAGATTTGGTGATACTTTTGAGCAGTACAACAGGCCGAGGGACTTTATCACGTCTTTCTGTAACTCTTTCTCTCTTTCTCTTTCTCCCTCCCTCTCTCTCCATTGTGTATTGAGGAGTAGATATTGCAGACTGGGGTATAAAGCCACGAAGTTGGCTTGGCCTCTGAAACACCTGCACATAGCACGATTGCAAGTGCCTGGATTGTAAATCATCACTGTTGGACATGTCGTTCAGAGAAGCAGTCGACGTACAGAACTCTGGCGTTTGCTTTTCTTCGAAAGAAAGCCGGGAGTTCATCTTACAAAAAACGAAAGAGAAAATAAGCGAACAGAGATGATGACAGCCACATCGTAGGTTAGATTCAAAGTGATAAGAAAAAGTGAACTGTGTGACCTCTGTCCACGATAATGGACAATTTCTGACGACGCGGTTTTGTTGGATTGAGGCTGAGATACCAGAAAGCCGACAAGGAAGATAGCATAGTGGTTTAGATTCAGCTTTTCAGCTACAGGTCACTAAGTAAAAGCATTTTTGAGCGGAGGTAAAAGCAAAGTCATGAAAGATTCTAGATTGAATTTCAGAAAGTGATCAAGCTGAAAAGGGTGCCCTACGATTATCTTCGATACCTGGAAAATGATTGGGGCGCAGACGCCGGACTCGGCCAAACTGTCCGGTTACCTCGTTGAAGTCATCTATCATCTAGAATCATGGTTCCTAATCGAAGTCAGTTATGCACGGCAAAAGATTCAATATCCGTAGTACCTCGTTGCTTCCCATGTTGTGTATTCGTTCGAGTCATCAGAGAATTTTCTCACAACTTGGACTAGGTTCCCATCACCTGACCAAACGGTCCAACATATCCTCTTGGATAAAAACAAGTACGATCGAAGGTCCTAAAGATGATGTACCAAGATAAGCTTGAAAACTCCACCTGACGAAGGAGGTGGTTGATGATCACTTATGCTCATTGGATGAGACTTCTCCACAATGGGTTTCACAACTATTGCGTTGAAATCATCAAGATGGAGAGACAAAGAGAGTCTCAGGGCGACAGGGAGGAAGGAAGGGGGGTAAGTACGAGGATCCGGACTCTGCAGCGCCGTTGATCACGAGGTAAAGACGAATGAAGCCGGAAAGTGGAAAAGTGGGAACGCTCGAACAACGTGACAAGGAGAAACATTGAAGAGTCCGTACTGAACTCCCTGACCTCTGAACAGTATGCCTGACCGATCGGCAGCTCCTTTGAAACTGGTGAAAGAGTTCCAATATCAGCTCACACCGTACTGCCAACCTGTTTCGGCAGCTTTTAGCCACGGAATTATTACAGATGTTCAGACTACATATGGGGCTCGAGACTTTCAACTGAAGGTCGCGCTTCAAGCTCTCGTTACATTGAGCATGTCACGGCTGAAACTCTGAAGAGTCTGAACAGGACCTTCAGTGTGAAATTTACCACGTGTCATCAGATAGACCGGGAAATATGTAAGGATTTTCAAGCCAGTAAGGTCATCAGCCTCGGCACCGCGAATGCTCTCGGTTGCGAGCGAATAGAGAGAGGCCTAGAGCCTGCGACCACGATTAACTGCCGGATGTGAGCCAGGCCAGTCATATTCCGATGGTGTGGCACAAGTCGGCAATTCTGAACAACAGCCACCGAGCTAGAGCTGAACAAAGGTGATTGAGCTGTCTAGAGATAGCTAGGCACTGTGGAGACTCTGTGAGTGCTAAGATTTATGAAGCCTGTCTCGTGGATGAGTTCAGATGTGATGCACTTTCAAGTATGCTTCTCCCCAGCTTTTCGTTTCGGATTTAAGACACGCAGAGCAACGTGCGAACTGCACGCGAATATAAAAGCCTGAGTGTGATCTAAAGAAACGGCGAGAGAGTCCGAGACAGGAAAAGGACGCGATATAAAATTCGTCTTGAGCTGAATACGGGAGTGAGATCACAGATGCCCACTGAACCGCTACACACCTTCACCACGCTCTGGAAATACGTGCTTTACAGCTGAAGATCATTCACGTATCATTATTTGGATATCCAGCGTAAAACCACCACCACCATCCATGTACCAGCATGCTCGCAGTTCGCAGGTCTGCATTGGGCTACATTGGAATGGAAAGATACAAACAAAAGCAGGTTTTCCGCGCTTTCAGATCCTGATCTAGAAGTCCGTATATGATGCAGAGATGACCGTATGTTTTTTGTACAAGCCTAATGATAGCAAAGTTTCTGTGTGTGTCCGTTCTCGTCACAACATATGCTGTACAGCCAAAGTACGCTAGGTTTTTGTAGATTTGACGTTGGAGGCCGTAGTATATTCGCGAATCCTGTCAGGAAGATGCTATATCGGTGATGCAGCTGTCTTTCTCGCCCGAGGTCAGGGCCTCAGTAGTGGACAATGTTTATGCTTCGAACGAAGAAATATGAGGAAAGGAGGGCTCAGTTCGTTCGCACTGGAACCGATTATTGTCGTTTATTGAGCTCGTAGTTGTCAGGGAATCGTATGATTCTCTCTTCTTCATTGTACGGTTAACTGGATTAACTTAGCAGAGAATCATGCAAGTGTTCACGTGATCCTCAATTTTATAGAAAAATTGCATCCAACGTTTCGTCATTTATCTCAAGAGCATGTGGATTGACACAACTATTCATCATTGACATGAGTGGCATAGGCTCACGTTTCTTCATCATGAACAATTTTGTATCAGACGACGACTACGCAAAAGACGAAGCACTTGTAGAATTTATCCGCTCGTCAATTCCTCCACCAAGGCATTTTTTCTTTCTACTTTTACTATATATTGTAGACACTTGTCTGCTAAATTCAGGAATTTCGTGTAAAAAGATGCTCCTATTCAGAATTATCAACATCTAAATGTGGTGAACATGATATGTCAGGTTTCGAGTGGTCCTTTTTGCGATCATTCTGTAACGTTTAGTTGGTCTGTTGGGTGGCAAACAAGCTTTTTGGATGGCTTGTTGTCATTTCTTTAAATAGAATTTAATTGATTTAATTTCTTTAAATGATTCTGCAAAGACCTGTCCTTACTGTTTGGTATGGAACAATGGATTCTCACATCCAGTTATATACAGTTAATTACAGTAAACTGAATCAAGTCCAAACTCCAATCCATTTCCAATTTTAGTAAGTGTTACTGGAACATGAATTTGTGTCAGTGTATAAGCTGAACGTGTTAGGCTCAGTTGGAATGTAAAGAATGACAAGTTTCATGTCAAGATTGACTTCTTCTTTTCTTATGCTACATGAATCACTTTCATGTCTGATCCCAAATTTTCCATGTGTCTTAACTTGTACATTTACTTTTTCCCTTTACTGCGGTAGCGTAGTAAACAAATAATATTATTTTCGTTCGATATACATTTGAAAGCAATATAGTCATTTGTAATTCCATTTTAACGAATCCGTATTCTAAACGAATCATTTTAATTTCTTCTATACGGTGGCCACACAACATATCTAAATTCAACGTAAAGCCTACAATTATAATTATCAAACCAAATTTGTAAAAGAAAATTATTTCATAGTCTACATTATTTCATATTTCTTTAAACAAATATTCTCATGGGCTCAAATATTAAATATTGCAAGAAAAAATGTGCATGCAAGACATTTTTGTTAAAAAAATTCAATCTTACGCACATTTAAAAAAAGCTTCCATAAGTACAAATTTCTTATAAAGGTTACAACTAAAAAATCATACACCTTAATCTACCTTGTAAGTAAATTTGATCGTAAAAAGTTTTTATGAGCGTAGGACAAACTCAATGTTTATATTCTAAGAAATTATAGTTATATAACTATGTGATGTAGAACAACTACAAGCTTCTCTAAAATTACTTGTGAGAATTCAACAGATTCAACTAGAAAATAAATTGATTATCCAATATCTATTATTGCATAATTTTAAGTTAAAATTTTTTGAAATGAATTTCACAACTTACAAAAAAAATTAATTCTCTGGAAACAATTCAAGTAACAAAAGGATACATACTAATGCAATTATTTTAAAAAGTTGAAGTCAAAAAATTTCTAAGAGCCTTAAAAATCTACACGTGAAATTTTTAACAATTGATTCTTCCGGTATTCTGATTGAAAAGTATTCAAGCTTTCAAATTCTAGAAGTATGTTTAACTTTATGAAGAGTCAACAGGGAATATATCTGGTCAATCTATCATGCACTATCAGACTGAAGCAAAACCATTGCATCAACAAGATTGATGAAATAATTTGTTGATTTGATGTCAGTTTTTTTTTATTTACATTTAACAATACAGAAAATTATAAAAAGTGTGTACAAAATGCAAAATACAGAATACAAAATAAAAAATCAAGCATAAGCAAAAATGGTATATTAATAAACGATACGTTTTAGGATATCTTCTATATTTAAAAAAATATAAATCTAAAAGAATACTAGTCAACAACACAATTTTATGTTGAATCAATCAACAAGGTTTCACTCTTTCTTACAGCAAAAAATAATATTTTGAATAGGCAATGAAAAAAATATCTGTAATTTAGACTAACCAAACATTTTAAGTGAAATATTTTTACACTCAGAAGTATCCTGCAGAATTCTTAATCGGATAGCATAGAAGATGTTAGTCTGACATTGGAGTCACTCTCTAATGTGGTCATTTTTTCATCAGAACTAATTGTAGAATAGATGATTTTCTCTCTCTCTTGCTGTCGATTTTGTCTTTACTGGATTGTGCATGTATTTATTATATATATTATTTATTTTTATTTTCAAACTTGAACTACTCTAAAGCAGCCTAAAACTGAAGTTACATGGCAGCGACTAACCTTTGAGTTACATTTTTTATTTAATAATTAATTAATTAATTAATTGTATTTTAAAAAATTTTAAGTTGTTTTTTCACATTGTATATACAGATATCACATATGTGATCATGCACTATAATTCTTTTTTGAAAATCAAAACATGAAATATGTGTGAGTGCAACTTAGAAGAAGAACCAAAACTTCGATTAGAATGAAATAATTTTTTGTTGAGTCGTCATAGCAAAACATGCTTACTTGAAACACTTTGCAAAATATTTACTGATGATGTTTAATAATTGAAACCCCAGGATGTGATGAGTCGACATCGAGGTGCCAAACGACTCCGTCGATGAGAGCTCTTGGGAGTCATCAGCCTGTTATCCTGCGAAACTAAGTTCGGCAGTTCGTAATAATTGGTACAGGACTCAACTCGCCCGGTCGCAACCGGCTCTTGATCAATGAAAATGTGTTCAAACTTTATTCCGCCTACGACACCCTTTTTGATAAAATACGCATTGAAGTTAAAAGTAAATTTTATGGTTTTAGGCGTATCAAAATACATTATTTTCACAAAGCATATATAACAAAGACAAATGATAACGCTAATAACTCTTTTATTCCCCTCAACTACGCGTTTAGAGCATCCTGTGGTTCCCACCTATTTACACGGGGTTTAGGTAGGCTCCATGCTAGGCAGGAGGAATAGGTTCTAGCGTGGTTTGCTACATGGTGAGCACAGATTATCAATTCTGTGCCAAACAATGACTGTAACCGACGCGAACGGTCGCCCTAAATTCCACTGCAATAGCCTTCTAATTGGACTTCAAAACCTTCTTTTAAAATGACAATCATTGCACATATATTTTTCAGGTCATATTTGTCTTTTTTTATATTATTTTATTTGAAAGATAAAAGAATGATTTCAAAATGATACAAAATTTGATTATTAGAAATCTAAATTAACAAAAAATAGATGGCTAGATGATAAACAACAGGTATTCTTACTCTATCATAAAATGCCAGATCAGATTAAGACAAAGAATGGGGAAAAAATTTGAAAATTTGAAGTATACATGTAAAAATTATAAAAGCACTAATTTTTTTTGGTTATCTATCATGTATAATAGAAAATGGAAATTATTCACATGAATGAAATCAAATGAATTTTCATTTGATTTAAAGAAATCTATGATAATTTGAAAATTAAAATTTCACATAAGCCTACAAACAACAAAAAATTGTGGCACCTTCAAATTTACAAGGGATTAAACTTTAAACTTAATGTAAAAAAAATCTTGAAATTGTTATATTTTATATAAGCAAAATATGTTTCATTTATTGCATACATAACTTCAAAAAAAACATAATTCCATATATATATATATATATATATATATATGAAATGAACCTATAAGAATGCAACTCCGATATAGGTTATTCTTATTAATAAATTCATCATTTACTAAATAGTTAATTGAAGGTATATGATAGTTAATGATAGAGTAGTTTTTTTAGAAGCTTTAGAGGTCAAATTTGTCCTTAAGAAGGATAGTTTTGTAAATAATGAACAGATTAAATGAAAAGTCCAATGTGATCAATTGAAGAGTCTTGGTGGCTTGTGCGTGTAAAGATAACAAGCGAGGATCATTTGAGTTCAACAACAGCAGGTGTAGATTCACATTTGACAAAATTTTGATTATTTAACATTGTCTGAAAACAGTCAGCCAATTGTTACAATGAAACTGACGTTGATCTAGCAAAACCAATAGTGTAATTTTCCTACCTGTAGATATTGAGTCGCATCACAATGAAAGGATACATTTATTTCTTGCTTATCAAGAAGCCAACGTGGATCAGTAAAAATTGCTGAAAAAAGTAATGATTTTTCTTGCACGGCAATGAGATTGCGTATATACATAATTTTGCGAGGACTAACAAGAGAGAAAGCTTTCCAATTGGATGAAGAGATTTTCAAAAGCTTGAAACGCAATGCTGTGGACAAAATGCATGACATTTTATGACTTTTCTAAAAAAAAATTTAGAAAAATTATGATGATTACAATCTCAAAGTCGCAAATATTCATACAATATTTGCAATAGATAAACTCAAGTGGTTTGAAAATCATAGGAAAAAATAATTATTAATGACTATTGAATAAATATGATTCAAAATTATTTTTTAATATGCATCAAGCTCATGTAGAATCAAATTTTTGGTCCAAACAAAGGATTTATGCAATCTTGCATAAACTTTGTATAGTGAAAATTTTGATTATAATCAAGGCATCATATGAACGTAAAATCAAGAAAACATCCAAGCCAAGCATGAACACAAGAGACACTCGTATAATGTGGTTCAACCTCAAGGGCTATGTTCACTGTTGAAACAGGCGAGAGAGTATACTGACAACTAAATACAAAAATTGCACCTCGAGTATAAGCCTTGGGGATATATATATATACCCAACGCCAAAGATAAACCTAGCTATAAATAACTATAACCTAAGATTAATCCTCAACCGGAATTAATTTCAACAATCTCTTGCTTAACTCGTGTTAAGAAAACAATAACCTTTGTAACCTATATTTTTACTCAGCATGAAGTTCTAGCAAGAAACCTAACACAATGATACTCTTTATACAAGAGTTAACTAAAACTAAATTGTAATCATAACAGTAGAGAGTAATAACATTAAAAGTTAACTAGAAAACCTGCTAGCATAGAGGGATCAGAGATCTCATAATCTTTATAATTACTCCGCGGAAAATTCTAGAAAGAAGCTTAATACA